TGATAGTTAATCGCTATGTCTGATACGCGTTGCGAACATAATAACGCAGCACTCAAACATCACTACCTGAGACAAACGGCTGTTTTCTATTAATTGTATTTTCTCGGTGCTGTCGAAGGACGGCCGCCCGTTTAGTGAACGTTTAATGTTATTGCTTTTCTTCTCCGCGACTGGAGTGATCATAACAATTATAATAATGACGGTAACAACGATGTGCTCCGTTCCGGCAATGTCCATTAATTTCGCCGTCCGTAACGTAGGCACAGCGTTGTTAACATAATTTCGCCCTAAAGAACTGTACTGGCTATCATTGGTCGTGCACGCGAAATAGCCGCCGCCGCCGCTTATTTAGTGTGGCCGTTATAGTTACGTTGAACGAGCTCTCAGCGTCCTCGTAATAGTTATGACGTCATCCTCCGGGTGGCCATACCATATGGCGTACACTTTTTTGCGGACCGACAACCGTCCACAATTGTAGCCACGCCTGTGACACCTGACCGTTGTCGACTAGACCGGATGCCAATGGTCGTGGCACTCCACTAGAAATGCACACCCTGTTAACACAATTTGCAACACATGCCACCCTTATGATATCTTATTAATAGCACCTGCCATTTTATTTGTCGTCTGTGACGACGGCCTCGGTAGAAAATAAAATGAAAATTAACTCAAATGTGTCCTTAACGTTTTGCCGAGTTTTTTATACATTTTTCATCTTTCTGGCGCCGTTGTTCTTTTGAAGTTTTGGTTCAAGTTATTACACTATGGTCATTACCGCTGACCGTGAAAAAGTTTTCACCACGACGGTAATCTCGAAAAAATGTTTGTCATCTCAGAGAAAAGTTCTTGTAGCCTTAAAAAATTGGACGACAATTAGGTTAAGTCGTGCGTCAGAAAGTTTCGGCGCTGTCCAGGTGTTCTATCGCACCGGCCAAATTTCACCGTTATTACTACTATTATTGTTATTTGGCAAATGATGCGAAATTCGCTGTATGACACATGGGTCGTTCTATTGAAGTCCGACTTGACAATTCTTTAGAAGTGTGCACTTGATGTGTATTTACTCGTTACGCAATAATCGGCGAAATAAATATATACTTCCTATCGACTTTGCGTGACAATTTTTGCGTTCACGGCGCTTGTCCCCCTACCCAGCCAGCCTAGCCCCCTCGAGTTACCGGCGGCGGTGGCGACGGCGAGGCTTCGATGTAGAGTGGGATTCGCCAACCGGTTGCCGCCTGACGTTGCGGCGCAAACCACCGATGAACTTGCAACCAATTGACCACGGTAACGACACAATACACCGACGGTGCACTTTCGTCGATTCAGTCGCACGCTGTACTACCGAACAGTTATCGCTGTCGTCTTCGCTGTCCGTCGCGTGGTGGTGTCTGTGCGCGGAACTGTTTGTCATTTAATTTTACGCGCTTGTGTATTTGCCGGGTGTCCATCCTCCCAAACTGATTGGATTACACAAGATTCTGCACAGTCGCAGCGGTCGCCGGCGCCTTTGCATTTATCGCACCCAAAGTCGCCGCAATGTCTGCAGCCGTGCACTATTCAAAAGTACAGTTGCTCTTTTCCTATATTAACCAATTGCCTGAGGCAAATTTATTTTAATTGCGAAATTAACTCTTTTTTAATTACTGAATAACATTTCTATTCATAGTTACAAAAAAGTTGTCGTTTGTCTGTTGATTATATACGTTTTGAGTACTTTTGACAATGATAGCGAAACTTTAAATAATAGAAATATTTACTTCTTAAACTCTAAAGTCATACCTAAACGCTGTAGTTTTAGTATGGAAGCTAAAAGGATTTATCCTAAATAGTATTAAAATGTTCCTTGACAAAATAATTCCTACATTAATTATTTTCGAATAAAACGAGAGTTTCATTTGGGTCATTTCAACAAAAAATGATTTGCCTACTAAAATTTTACACTTTGGCTAAAGCTCTGGCTTTATTTTTTTGTTTGCACTTTGCTAAGTTTAAAACGCTTTCGCTGTGAACTTTTATGTTTTATGTCTATAATTAAAGAGCGCTATATGTAACAGATTTTACGATGATTTTTAAAATGTATATGCACTTGGATTATAAAGTTCATAATAATAAAAACAATTTTCAAAAATCATAATAATGTTCAAAATAAGGCTTCAGTTCTTCTAAGCCCTGTGCGCATTTCGGTGCGATGACATTTGCGTTTGACAAGTGCTGCCAAAAAATAAAATTTTTGAAGCCCTAAAGCTTGAGTAGATAATTACTTTTGACGGGTCACTTTAATGCGATAACTCGAAAGGATTACTATAATACGCATTATATTAAAGAAGTTTTCATGAGATTATCTAATTGTCACATCATAGCTGTCATTGGCCATTAACGCCAGTTTTTTTCTCTTGGTTTACTTTCATATGGACTTATCTATAGATCTCTACTCCTTAAAACGTATATTATTCACATTTAGTTTTTAGTGCATCAAATTTCAAAAACCCATATGGTTACATCACCTTATGGACAGTACTGACTCGACTGAATTAAATTTTAATTCTCGTGTTGTTTACTAAGTTTTACATCGCGTCATTAGGTTTCGACGTCAATTAATTTAAAAAATATAGCCGGTGCTATTTGATTATGTTGAACATTTTTAAGGGTTACTTCCCGACGACTTCAATCGCCATGCTTAGAAGAGTCCCGTGAATATTTTCCTTTGATTCCTTTGAATTTTTAACATTTTTCGCGAACAGGTGTTCGACCGCATTACTGCGCATACTTAATAATAATGTTATTGTTTATCGGTCGTGTGTTGTTTTTCACGTGTATGGAGAAGCGGCTTTCACCATGGCCGCTGCCACGGCTGTCCAAGGCCTCGTCTGGTTGTCTGTCATTCGGGCAAGGCTATTTATCAGTACATAGCTGTATTATAATAGTAAGAGATCGCCTCGAGATGTAGGTGTTTCGTCCGGCCGATGCAGTTCTAAATTTCTAATTACAGGTTAATTATTGAGCCGTACAGTAGCACATGGTCGTCAAACTGTACTGTACGATGTGTTTGAAAATTAGCAAAACCTTAGGCCGTTAAACGATGTTGTCGAATTTTCTCAACGGATTTTCCGGCATCCGACTGACGCCTTTGGTTTGTTGTTTAGCGTTAGTGTGTGGGCACAATACGTTGCTACGATCGATTCAAACACCTGTTGACGCCCACGTCCTAATCTTGCACGGGAAACACTTACCATCGACACTGACCGTATCATTCGCAGATCTCCTTGCGCTCTACTGATCTAAAATTAATAGTAATCACCATTGCTTGGCTTTTACATCCGCTGTAAAGAGCATACGACTTGATCATTCGCGATTGCCATTAGATACTTACCAGGTGTAAATTGTGCACATCTATATATTTTAATTGATTTAACTCCTAAACCAACCGATCGTTTTCTTCGGCCTTAATTTTTACTGTTAAATTTTCTCAATTATCGCTGCTATTATGTCGACCGTCCATTTAAGACACATTTTGTGTTTAATCTCTTCCTTTCACTACATACGTGCTAATTTTTGAATATCATTAACTGATTATGAGGTTTTTACATATTAGTTAATTTAAATGTTTGCATTGTTTATTCAGATAACAATTCGTTAGGTCCAGTGACAGATTTACTCATTGTTGTTTCAACAGATTTTGCAAAAAAAAAAAATTTTATCTTGTTTTAACATATTTACTACGACATATTTTTTTTCAATTTAAATTAATAGTTATTACTGTAAACGATTGCTGTGTTTGTGCAATGAAAATAACTGAGATTACCTTGATGACACCGAGTGAAAACAGTAGGCCACATTAACAATACTTAATAATAAAAAAAAAAAAAATTGCCATTTTTTTACCAGTTCCCTTTTTCTCATTTATAAAACACGATAGTAATAATTTATCGACCGAGAAAAAAAAACATGACGTATTTAACTGGACTCTGTTGACAAGATACAATAAATGCATTAAACATATAAGTATAGAATATAATTATCATTATTCTATCGTCCTTGTTGACACGGTGTGCGTGTGTACGGTTAGACTTTCAATTTGCTCTTTTCGACTGAAACGTTTTACACATGGGTTTTGTTTTGGTAGACATCTGATTGCCAACGATTCGTTAAGTCTTTTCGGCTTTGGAATTTGTCATTTTTGTTGTAACATAAAACAAAACGAGAGATTGATAAACGAAAGCTACTCGCCGGTCGTCTTTGCCGTTTTTAATCGTTTTCCTCATCAAAATGCCCAAAAGACTTTTCGTATGTTGAATTACAATTTTTTACGATTATCTTACGTAGCCATCTGTGTTCGCCATGTGTACGAGTTGCATAATGACCCAGTGTACCTATTACACGATTACAGGCACATACATCTGTCCCGTTCTCTATCTCACTTTTGTCTAGTACGTTTAAGGAGCTCATTTCTAAACACTCATCGCAATTAATTAAATCAGTTCACACCGTTTCGATTGTATCTCCCGGAATATGTTCGATTTTCTCTGGGGCAAAGACCAGCTGCGCGCATACGTCCGTCTTGATATCCAATATTAGTTTCCCAGACCTCGACCATGTCCGGCGTGTTTTCGATTATTTACGTCGACCGATTTCAATTATGTATGAACGTATCAAGTACAACCGAGCAAACATTTAATGGGTTTATGTCAAACAGAGTAGGCGAATCTTAGACTCGTGGGCGTCGCGAATAGCTGCCGCCGGTCGCCCACCAACCCCATACCTGTGCTTGCAACAATAGTGCTCGCGTCAGTCTCATTACTTTATTATTGTTGTGTATTAATTCACTATGATCTACTCTGTTTTATATTTGAAAAATAAACGTCTGCATTATTAACGTGACCTTCCTTTAGATTTCGTAATCCAATTAGAATCTATAACTTGAATCGCGCACAATCAATTTATACGCAAACGTTTTACTTTTTTACTGTGCATTCATGTGACATTTGTTTTATGTTTAGATCGCGGCCGCGGTGAGCTGTTCTGGAAGATTCAGCTCGACCAAGACCTGGTGGACACGATATCATCAATTTACCCCGAGTGGTTCCGCCAACAGCAGCAGCAGCAACACGCCAACGCATTGACCATGCACAACAGTAATCCTCAGCCGTCTCCGCCCTCAGCAGAGGTGGACGATTCTCCACTGCAAAAATCTATGGACAAGAACAAAGAGTGTGAGTTCATTATGTGTAACATCAATTTTTGTTCCTTAGGTGGGTTACTGTGTCTGACGTGGCTTGAAAAAAATCGTTAAGCTCATAAGTGTACTGTAAAGCGTATGCCCTACTCAGACTTGTGCATTATTAATTATTGATCGACAAGAACATCCACTTTCAATCGTATGAAGTATATGTTCTTATGATTCACACGACCGTGACACACAGAACATCTATAAAACTCGTGTAACGACACTTTTTTTATATACCTGTTTTTTTACTTGATTATAAAACGATTAATATCGAAAAAATCAGCCTTCATGCGCGAGCCTTTCTCTGTCGCCAATTGTTTGCGTACGCTTTCGTTTGGCGAATCATTCGTCATAATCTGTACAATTCAACACGAGACAATGCCTTTTTTTTTTATGAGTCTCAACCAACCGCATAAGTATGGTACATTTTTGCAGCACCTGTGCCCTCCGACCCTCGTCGAAACAACCGCTTTTGTTACTAAACGTTCGGTTGCGCAATAAACGCTCAACAGCACACGTAACGATCATTACTAGAAATGTTCAAATTTTTAATCCCCCGCCATTGTATGAAATCATCTGAATCTAACTCATCTGCATAATTTCTCTGATATAATTTTCACCAAAACACATTTGCGTCCGATAACTTTCATAAATTTGAAATACTCTTGTACTGGAATATATTACAAATATATTAATTTGATGGACGGGTGGGCAGGGGACAGATGACTATGTAGCACGTGCGCCACTCGGGTTAAACAATACGTGAATAGAATTAATAGGCTTTTGCTTGTTTTATTAGGTGGCGTCCGACAAATTACATTGTTTTTGTCACGAACACAAAGATTCGGTAGAAAATTAACCGGAAAAAATAACTTAATAACATATTAACAACCGCTGGAATTCGGTTCGGTAACTCGTCCGTTACGGCGGCACTTGTACTGTTGCCAAAAGCTCAAAAGAGATCTTGTACATCCCGGCAAAAGGCGGTGGCCTATTAACCGCGGAGATTAATAATATTTTTTATTTTTTCTATACTAGTGACAACAATATGTAATCTCCACAGCGGCAAACAGCTGTCGCCGCCCGTTTAAAATATTCTTAATGTTATCTGTTTGAATATATTGTAATGTCTCGCTGCTAATTGTCGGCCTAGAGAAAAACCGACCGGAGTGCCAGTTTTTCTCTCTGGAGGTTGACATGTCGATGACCCAAATAAACAACACAACCGAGGCAACGACTTCCTGAATAAAAATAAAGGCGACGGTGGGCCATAACGTCGTTGTTATGACGATGTAGTGGCGCGCCATTAGGCCTAAAAGTTTATAGTCGATTTTGTCTTCCCTAGCGCCATGCTGGAAAGTATTCGGACGAGATAGCAAAAATAAACCGATCCCGGCGCCGCTTCCAAAACATTATACGGCGAAGGGTTATAATAAGTAAGGTAGGTTACTGATCTTCACACATAATGCCCGTTCCATTTATAAGACAACATATCTTACAGTGGCCAACTTGGTTCTTAACATTAATCACATTTCCAGAATATGTTTAATCAGCCGTCTTTAGAACAACGTCGCCACCACGCTGAAGTCATATAAATTATGACAAAAATGCATAAACCCTTGTTCTTAATTTGGAACATCAAAATGTATGTTTTTTATTGCTTATAAAATTTTAATGCGATGAGCATTTGAAAATGTTGGTATTTCGGGATAAGTTTCTTTGGTACAAGAATTATCTGGATGAGTTTCTTACTTACAAGAAGTGAAACGACCATTTGTAATCCAAAGAAACAAAGGTCTGTTTGTCGATGAGCAGTTCGCACAGTTACAGGAAGACTGTTGTGTCAGATGCGTGCGCTGATCAAAATTGTATTTGTGTCACGAAGAAAACAATCGAATCATCCTACGATAACTTATGAGATACGGCTTCATTAAAAACGACCTTCGATAAACTCGGATTGTAACACCTTTTTTACGAGATCCGTATCGGCGCCTGTAGACCTCCTGGGTGAGACTTGCTGTCACTAGCACATACCGTCAACCTTATTAGTTTATTCAACGTCACACCTTGTCTAATGTGGCTACCGTTGCTAGTTTAATTTAGAGATGACTTCGATTCAATTACTATTTTTATATTACTGTTATTATTACGTTCGGCTCATTACTGTTTTACTAGCCTTTTCAAGATTTTGTTACTCAACATAAAAATATAATATATGATATGTTCCAGTGCAAGTTCCTTTAATTTCGTGCTCATTACTTGATTGTTGTAGCCATCCAAGGTAATATTTGTTTACGAATGGAGACCGCTTGCGGTTTTGACGGCAGTAAAAAAAAATTAAGTTTTTTGGATTTTATAGAGTAACTTTTTGTCGAGCAACAAGTCATAACGCTATTTAATTTTTTTCGGTCGATATTGAGATGTTCTTGTGGAAGCTTTTGAATGATCGACGTCCGGTTTTCATTAGATAGAAATGAATCGTTTAACTTGGATGCGGTGGCCTTCGTTTATGAGATAGTTATATATATTATGACGTTTTAGGATGTGTTTTTCTCAGATGTTCGGCGGCGTAGTCAATCGAGCCGCATCGACTGCCAACCCATGACGCATTGCCAAAACCGTTCTAATGCAGCCAATTGATGTTTGTACGAATTTCTAACAGCGCATCGGAATTATACATGAAAATGTATGAATTATCTTTTATCTTTTTTTAGAAAAAGATNGACGCATTGCCAAAACCGTTCTAATGCAGCCAATTGATGTTTGTACGAATTTCTAACAGCGCATCGGAATTATACATGAAAATTTATGAATTATCTTTTATCTTTTTTTAGAAAAAGATAAAAAAAAGAAATTTGAGTGTTTTATGTTCTGTTTGTGTGCGGTTTGGTTTGGTAAATTAACTGAAGTATTCGTTTAACCTCTTCGTAGATGACATGTCCGAGTTTTTTGATACATGACTAATTGTTTCATGGAGAATTTTTCCATGTAGGCCCATGTGTAATTTTAGGAAAAAACATATGGGAGAAATGAAGATGAATGAATATCGCGCAAGAGTGATGTTGTAACATTCGCTGATGTATGTTGGTTGGCTTTGATAGTTGTCTTGACATACGCGACGAAAGTGCTTTCTCGCGTCCACTGCCAACACTGCGCTGGCGTGTCTAAAGATTCTTTAATTATCTCTACATCTTTTAATGATCCCCTGCCCGTAGGCGCCCACCTACTCTTCCGGCCTCTTGGTCAGCGGTATTCATAATGACACTGCCAATCTCGATTGTGTTTAATTATTGTTAAAACGCAATTAAGGGGCTAATGTAAACATGTGCCCATTATTGTTGCAAGACGCCAAGTACCCAAGTGCGCAGGTGAGCCGCCGTGTTGGATACTTGCCTGAAAATTTTGTTTCAAAATCATCTCGTCTCTGTTGTTACCGTAATGGACATTTATTGCGGTTTCCGATACTGGTCAATCATAATCTAATTACCATCGATTCAACGGACTAGCTGCAGCTCGATCATTGCAATTATTGCATATTGTGCGAACCGTAGGCGTCCTGCGTTACGTAATCAATGTTATTACCACACATTAATATAGAGATTTACCGCGGTACATGTGCAACGATTATCACAATAAACGGCACGCGTACTACCGTAAAACGACACTTAAATCTGGTACGCGTAGCAATAAATGGCCATTTGTTATGATTATCGCTGTTATTGTTGTCGATAAGTCATAGGCGCACATATCTGTAATGTTTAATGTATAAAATAAACTCATCACAAGTGTTCGGCATGTGCAACAGCTTTGTGAATTATTGGTGGCGCTCGAGTTAACGGTATACAATTTTTTTAACAAGTTGTTTTGGTAAAAAAAAAAAAGGGAATAATAAAATTTTTTTGCAGAGTCGATTATGATACGCGGTTAAGTGGGTTTCTGACCCTACAGTTTTTCTCTCGCTCCTATAGCCTCGATTGCCCCATAAAAAATTGATTATGCCAAAGAATACTGAAATTACGAGTATTTGTAAATTTTTTATCAACGTTTTGATCCCCTAAGAAGTTTTAGTCTTCCTTATGACCAGTGATCAATTATTCATCATGNGAGTATTTGTAAATTTTTTATCAACGTTTTGATCCCCTAAGAAGTTTTAGTCTTCCTTATGACCAGTGATCAATTATTCATCAGGTAATTGTTCATAATTAGGTTTTTCGTTTTAAATAATCACGCAACTGTTGTAAACCACCAATTTTAAAATCGAATTCTCTTTGAATGTTTCTTCAATGACTCGACTGAATACTTATGTGGTCTATTTTTTGGCTCACACGAGTCTAGTTATATTTTATGTTTCCCATTGGCATGTAGGTTTATAACTCATAACCTTGTCGAAAAGGTGTTTAGGTGTATAACAATTTCGTTATATATTTTGAACTAAAATATATTTTAGTGTATTTATAAGTGGCCATTTATTTAGTCGACATATACTTACAATATTACAGCATAATCCTTCTGCAATTAGCTAGCGATAGATAAATTTAGGCGAATTATAGATTATTTTTAAAAATATTTAACTTAATATGCGTATGAAAATTTTAAAAGAATACCTACTTGTCAGTAGCTATTTTGTAAGGGCTTCGAACGTGGTGTTTGTCTGAACAACAAGGAAAAATTCTATCGCCTTTATTTCTTGTGCTAAATTACTGTTGAATACTATTCTGCACGTATATAATCAAAGCTAACGCAATAAAAATAGACTTTGCCCATGTGTATATATGAATCACGTCAGGCATTTAGATTATTCATGCAATATGACTTTTTCTGCTATGCCGAATTCTAAACTTTTTTCATTTAGAATTTTCTATACATTGTAGAAAGGATTTTGTAAATTGCGGTCTACTACATTGAACTTTTCTATGAAAATCTCTTAAAAGGATAATCGAAAATAAAAATCCAAATATTTTATCTTACTAATAAAATCGTTTAATTTTATTAAAATTGTATTAATTACTCGAGTTTTATTTGCATTGAAAACATTCATCAAGAGCTAGTCATTCCCATAAGTTGGTAATAAACATAAAATTATGATTTTCACGTCGTTAATGACCAATACTTATTATGTTCTACCTTTTTCGGGTTTCCGAGGACGTTCACTAAGTATATTAATTTCCCTCGCGTTGCACTTGTATGATAATAAGATAATTAATTGCACACATATATAACCGGACATTTAGTATATCATACGTTAAACATAAAATTGGCAGTAAAAAAAAATGTTAAGTTTAATGATAGCCTCAAGTTAAGTTATTCCGCTTTAATATACGCTGTTTGCATAAATATTACAATTGTATTCATCGTATTTAAAAAAATATATATTAGTTAAAATAAAAATTGTATTGCTTTGTAATTAATTTCGGTAAGATTTATAAATCAATTAAAATTTCTTATTGGTGTATCGATAGTATAAAAAAAGATTACTCATAAATGAAGCTGGCTTATGTTCTTTGCAATTATAATTTTATTATCTATTTACAATCACTGAATAGCTCAAAAACCAATTAAAATATGTAACCCGTGAAAAATTGACACTTATTTACTTAATTTACAGGTATCGTTTAGATAATAAAAAATATAGTGCTTCAATATAAACTATATATAAAAAAATATATACTTCAGCTGATGGTATAATTTTAAATAGGGTTTAAACGTGTGCTATTCGCTGTATAGACGAGTTGAAAATACTTTAGAAATAAATTATCTAGCTAACTTGTATGCTCAAAACGTCAAGAAATTATATGGCTGGCTTGCTCCCAGGCTAGATCTAGATAACTAAAAAGAATAACGTCTATCATTTTTCTTTTTAATTAGATAAATATTATCGCATTAGTTTAATTGCAGTCAGAAAATTTGTTAATTATCTTAATTTTGTGTAAGGAAATATACGAATTTAAGAAAATACAATATTTTACGAAGGAATAAAGAAACGATGATTTCTTAAAACCCATCACTGTCTACATTTACTATCTGTAGTTCTAATTGAAATGTGTCAATAACTATTGGCATTTTCTGATTTACGAAAAGCTAAACTTTTTAGCGAAAATACGTCGTCTTTTGCCGATTTTTTGGATAAACACCTCCGCACTCGTTAATTTTTTTCCTTATTATTTTGTTTCAAAATTGCCGTCTGCCATCACGGGCAATTGAACATGTCACCTAGTCTTGAGTTTAGCGGCCAAGACAAAATCTTGATTTTGTTGTATAATATGGCGACTAAAACCACAATGAAATGTCTGATTGTTTGGCGAACGAGAGGTGGGCTATTCCTTACTACACGTTTAGTGTTGGTGGTCATTAAAGTATTTTTTGTATATGAGCTTGAAACTATTTCCATTTCTTGACTCGTCTCTGTGGATGGGATGAAAAAAAAATTCAAATTTTATTTATTCTTAACCTCCGATGTTTGGCCACCGCACAATACTCGACCAGTAATAATAAGGAATATTATAACTCCACGTATAACTTATTCTGCGTCAGCCAAACTGATGTAAAAATCTCGACGTTGAGCTCTTGTTTTTCTTATGTGTTGTAATTTTTTTTCTCGTCCCTCCCTCGCTTGTCCATACCATCTCCGCATGCTCTTTGCCGAAAGACTTTAAATTAATATCACGCGACAGACTTAAGCCCACTGAACGGCTTCCCAAAATAGAAAAACTCGGTTGTACATATAAAAATAACGGCCCGTTCAGTTTATAACACATTTTTTCTTGATATTATGCATGTTTAATTTTGTCATTTTTTTTTACACTCTCAACGATTAATTTACGACCGAAACATAATTATGTTCGAAGCATAAGTCTTCGCGGTATATACAATTTTTCTGTTGATTTATACATGCACCACAGTATTACATTATAATATTATATCATGTATTCATTTGCCCGTTTCTATTTTTCAGCTCTCAAAGTGAAGTTGATGTTGAGGAGACCCATTAATCAATTAGTGGCTCAAGGAATTATGCCCTGTAAGTAAATTATTTATTTAATTTAATGTGACCAACGCCCTCGTACTGGTCAAGTGTTCTTTTTTATGAGGGTAAAGTTTCCTTCGATTATTCCTTTTCCTAAATGCACCATCACTTGTGACCCATTTAAAAAATGTTTGATGTTTGCATTATTAATTCATTATATTTTCATTCAGGTTTGAAAAGTCCTCCAGCTTTCCATGAACAAAGACAAAAGTTGGAACGGGCTAAAATGGGCGATCTGTTGAAAGCTAAAATTCAACAGAGGCCCGACAAACAACAGCTGGTTAGACAGCATATATTAGAAGACGTCGGTGACGTAGATCCTTCGTTAGCCGAACGTCAACGCATGCTAGTTAAGTGCCGATTGGCCGACTCTCTGAATACCCAATTAGCCCATCGGCCAGGTCCTTTGGAGCTGATAAAAAAAAATATACTTCATACTGACGAGCCAATTGAAAGGCTAGTTAAAGGTATCTCAACATTTACGGTATAAACCAATAAAAAATACAAAAATATTATACATCATTCTTTTTTTCTGTAGAGGGTCAGATCGAGTTCAAAGCTACCAGTGAGGGACAGAAAATTAAACCTGAACACCCTGACCACTACCTGACTTTGGACGAAGATTCACAGAGTTCCGGTGGTGCTGGCAGCTCTTGTTCGCCACCTCCGCCTGCACAACCTCCATCGTTACCGCTGCCTAACCATAGGCCAGCGTATGATATGATAGAAACAGCCGCCGCTAACGCCGGTATTGTTACGCTAACTCTTCTACCTTCGCCACTGGGCTCATCTACGTCCAGTTTGTCACCAATGAGTTCGGTTGCGTCACCACCGCCACCTCCTCCACCTCCAATGCCGTCGTCGCTGTCATTGGTACACAGCCAGCAGCCGGCACCTGGCAAAGATAAAAACCGAAAAAAAAGCAAGAGCAAATCTCAGGCCAAAACTCGGACAATTAAGTTCCACGAGTACAAAGGACCCCCTAGTGCGAATAAAAGTCAAAACCAAAACTCTAATTCGGCCGAGACCTCATATGAACTTCTTCTACAACAGCAACAACTATTTTTACAGTGGCAGTTGGAGTGGCAACAAAAAGTTAGTTTAGGTTTTATCATTTCACTTACAAAAATATTTATATTTATTTTAAATATTTGTAGTACCCTCAACTGATTTTACCAGCTCCGCCACACAAGTCTACATCAAATGCAGATCAGTCATCTAATGTTTCATCGACTTCATCGACTACATCATCAATATTATCACCTGTTCAAACGACTAATAGTCAACCACAAATAGTAGAAAGTCGACCATTAAGAAACCTTGATGATTTGAAAGGTAACTTCAAATTTTTTATAAATTTTATTAATACATACATAAATATTGTACTTTATTTGATTTCTTAACAAAAAATAATAAGCCCTCCTGAACAAGATTGTGTGTAGAGGTTCATGAAATATTATCTAGTGCAATGTAATGTATAAATTTGAGTAATTTTGACATAGTAGAATTTACATTTATATAAAGAGCATTTACAATCTTATAAAATACATCCATTCACTTTCATTTAAATATTACATATAAAAATAAAATAACATTGACATATAGTAAAATAATAAAAATAATAAGGAAAACTAATTCATCAAATACATTTTTGATGAAGCAGTTATAATTTTTGTTAAGAACTATTCTAAAAATATTATTCTGTACTGTTTGCAACTTTTTAGGTTGGTTTTGCTAATTCCTCTCCATGCAATTATTCCATATGTTAATATAGATTCTACCAATGCCTTTCAATGATAGATTATATAACTTCCTATGAGCTATTTTTATAAAATTGATGTTTAATATATATATTTTTTTTTTAAAGAATATGATAGTCCTATAAATTTTGTTGTATAGAACCAATATGATGCTTTGTTTTAGATAACTATTCATTAATATACCTAGATATTTAGTAGAAATGCAAACTTTAAGTTTATTTTTGTATGAGATTGACTTTAATGTTATGCAACATTTCGAATACTACATGATGGGGTATCTAAACTGAATATTATTATTAATATTAAGATAGTGCAGTAAAATAAAAATATTTACAATTAAAAAAAAAAATCTTAATAACTATTGTTATATGATCTTAATGTCAAATTGTATTGTATTAAAAATTTCATCCAATCAGCTGTTACAAATAGTACCATATCATCAGCAAAACATATTAATTTATTATAATGAGATAGAGAGCTTATGTCATTAATTTGTATATTTTTTTTTACGTTATATTTTTATATTAATTTTTTTGCTTTAGTGAGTGATTTAAAAGCTGAACTAAAGAAACGTAACTTGCCAGTGTCAGGGCCAAAACCACAGTTGATTGAAAGATTGCGGTCATTTGCTGAACATATTTCTGATTCTTATAACATGTCACCAGGCAGTCAGTCGAATCCTAATAGCCCAATTCGATCGTCAAATTCACCACCTCCTCCTCCACCACCACCTCCACCACCACCACCACCTCCAGTATCTGGAAGTAGCCAGAATACACCAGAAGAGGATCGTATTATTCGAGAACAACAAAGACGTATTGAACAGCTTCAAAAACAACTACTTAATTCTCAACTGCAATTGCAACAACAGCAGCAATCTAGAGTACAAACATTCCAGGTATATAAAATAATTAATTAGTTTAAATTATAATAACCGTTTACTAATATTCAATATTTATTTACAGCTTCAGCAGCCAGTTAATGCCAAAGCTAATTTGGCTGCTTTTCTTCAGCAACAGCAGCTGAACCAACAACAAAAGCAACAAAAACAACAAGTGATTTTGACGACAAATAATAATAATTTGACCAAAAATAACAATAACGTAGACATGACAAAGAGAAGAAATAGTAATACTATTGTTTTAGACAGGGAGCAAGCAGCAAATATTTTAAATCAATTAGAAAATAATGGACATAGGTACTACAAGAGTTTGATATTTTTTATGTGCATTTATAAGCTGTAATAATATTAATTTATTTTCTAGGACTGCATCGCTACCAAATTTTCTTGGTACATTTGTACAACCTAATATGGTTGTAAATAATAATAATAATAATAATTTGAGTAATAACAATAATAAAAACTCAAATTCAAATATTCAAACTGAGTTCAAAGTTGAAAGAAATGACATGCCTATGGTTATTGAAGATGTAAAGCTTTTTGATGTTAAATTGAATAACATGAACAATATAAATGGGAAACTAGAAATAAGTAAAAACAATAATCAAAAAATTAAGGAAGAAGATAGTAAAGCTTATATTGATATTAATAGTCTGCCAATGGTGTTTGATGATTCAAAATTATTCCAAAATGTATGTTTGAATTTTAGGTTGTTTAATAAAAAAGGTGAATAATTAAAATTGTTTCAATATTTTAGGAGACACTTGATGAAGGTAGGAGTAATGTATCCAAAAGTCAAATGATGGATGATGTACTCGAGATATTGATAAGAAATGGAGAATTACCAGCTTCAGCTGCACATGATGCAACTATGTCAACAGAGAGTACAGTATCATCTGAATTTGATATACACATGGGTGATCCATTTGCCATGGATGTTTGTAATGATGACTTAATGGACGTAGATACTGATTGGCTCGACTCTTTGGATTTACCACCTCCATCATCTGAACCAATAGCTGACTTATTTAATGGTGAAGCACCAGATAGTGATTTCAAATTACCAGCCAACATGGACTTCCTGTGGGATCGCATTGATTTTGCTACCTAATTATTTCTAAATGACTACTTATATTTGTTTGAGTATCATACTAAATTGATATGTTCACCATTCCCCTTGTCTCTCTAAATCTATTTCATCATCAAAATAGCAATAATATTATTGTTTGTTACTATTTTCTTGTGTACTTTACACAATAAATAGCTAATAATAACAATTAATGTTAATAATAGTAATAATTACAAAAACATAGTGCTCATTAATTTCCAGGGTCGTGTGTACTTAAATAAATTTAATTTAGGAAAAAAAAAATTAAAATATCTATTTATATTGCTCAAAAATTATTTATCTTACTTGATATTTATATTTTAAACAACAGTATTTTGATCAATCTTGTTCTTTCTTTCTGTGGTTTACATTCCTTAAATTTAATTATTAAATCAATCGAAATAAATGATGATGAATTGAAATACCGACATATTGTATTAATAGTTTACTGTTCTATGAACAAAATATTTTATTATTATATTGTTTTAGATATTATTTTTATTAATTTTATGTATTGTATAAATCATATTTTGTTTATATTAAACTATGTTTATTTTTGTTTTTAAATTACTTTTAAGTATTACTAATTTCATAGTTAAATTATATTTTTATTTATATTATAATAAAAATGAACTATAAAAACGAATTGTGTGAAAGGATAGTAACCCTAAAATAGTATAACTAGTAGATATTATGTAATATTTACTGTTTATTTGCTAAATCATGTCGATATTATAAGTGGTGCTGAATATTTTTTTATGATATACTATATGTTATATGTTAAGAAGTACAGGCTGTGCTTCTTTGGGTTGTGTCTAGTTTTCAAATGAAGCTAAGCCATATACTTCACTTTTTATTCTGCCCACCCCAATTTTAACGTTATAATTTTTATTATTAATTATTGATTATTGTATTTTTAAAAAAAAATTATTATTTCCACCGAACAGTTGTTTTATCTAATTACTATACTTATTTTTCATTATAATTTGTTATCAGGATCACCAGTATTCATGCATGATCTATATTATTTTTACAATTCATACATTGTTAAACATATAATTGTTTATCTGCTCTATGTACAATACAATTTGTAAATAATGATGCTCATTAAAAAATATATCTAATTAACTTTCATTGCAATAAACCTTATATTAACTTCCCTATATCTAAGCTAATGATTATCATGATGGTTCTATTAAATAATAAAAGATAATGAAATTAAGTTATTGTATAAACATTCCAAACAAAGAAAGAAAAACTAATTTCTATTAGAAAAATGGGTTTTGCCCTGACAAATATATGATACGTTAGATGCCAATCTAAGGATAGATTAGGGATGTTATTTATTTTAAGGTATATAACTAATATAAATTTAATTTTGAAATGCCATAGTATATTATTAGTTAATTATTTTGAATAAAATAAATTGTGATTAAAAAGTATAATTTAAAAGGAATATCATTATTAGTCAATATTTTAGATTATTACTAGATCAATATTTGTATTTAAAAACGAAAATAATTAAATAAATGTATTCCTACATAATTTTAAACTTAACAATTTGTATATTTAAGGATTGTACCTATAATAATTATTATAATAAAAAAATATTAAATTGTAAGTTCAAACTATTGTTATATTTTATTTAATTATGTATATTTTGCTGAAAAATCATATATTTGTGAGTAAACTAAAAATTCATTGTTCAAAAATGTTTTTTAATTTAATTATTAAATAGCTTAGTCAAGGAAGAAGGCCCAAGGACTATGACTCCCTGATCGGAATGTTTATCTCCAGTATGGAAAATTGAAGAAAAATAAATAAACGTGTTTATTAGATATTTTCTAACTATCCCCCTCTATTATAATATCCCGTTATGCCTCTTATTGTAAATTTATTTTTTTATTTTTTTTTGGTATCTTATATCAGGAGTTGAAATTAATTTTATGTCTAAGCTAGAAGAGAAATGTTTCTGAAAAATGCTTATCAATAAAAATAGTCATACCCTCCTATACTTTTCAAAATATTGATTTAAAAGTTGTTTACCAGTCATTTCCTAAACATTGATTTAGTTAAATATATTTAAGGAACAAAATTGATATACTTATGAGATATAAAGGATAAACCTACAAAAGCCTTTAATGATCAATTTATCAATTAATTGAGTATTGCATATCACTAAAAAGAGCAAAAAAAAATAGTTCTCAATATTATTTTTATTTTGATAGAAATATGCATTTCTATCATATACTAGTTTATAGTCATTTAATCACCCTGTAAATGCATATGTATATAAAAATGTAAATCAATTCGACTAAATAAATGGGTATTAGGGAACTCAAAAAAATCAATATTGAAATTTTTATCAGACACCACCTAGATTTATTAAGTATATAAAAAAATATGTTTTGAAAATTTCATATCGATAAAAAAATGTAAACAGGTCGCTTTACACGTTTTTCATATTATAACCAAAAATACCTACTAATTATTAAAATATGATTAAAATTCTAAATTTTTGTTCAATTATAATCTTCTGTTTAAGTAAAATATTGTATTTTTGACTTAGAAATGATTTTATAATTTTTAAGACCTATATTGATTACCATAAACGTCTAATTATATAATGGAACTTTTCAAATCAACCTGAAACGGGCCACAAATTCTTTTTAATCTTGAAAAATTGATAGTTTTTTTGGTTATGTTTATTTTATGGTGTAATTTTTTTTTTTTTATAAAGAATGAAAATTAACTTTTTATTTTAACGCTTTTTTGAACTAATGTTTGAGTACCTTTATATTGATTTATCAATAAATATCTCATTGTTACGCGATATTAAGTCCGAAAAATTGCCATACATGCCATTCATTGATTATATAATCATAAATGTATAATCTACAATATAGATATCAAACATTAAGTCATACTTTTTCTGATGATAATATTGCTACAGTATCTGATATATTATTCACAAAACGTTAGTAAGTAGTTACTTACGTGTCTAAAAGTTATTGTAAACTCGTAATTCAGCATTTTCATATATTTTAATCGCATAATCTCTTAAATTTCATTTAGAATTCACAAACATAAAATTTTTTCAGCTTACTGGTAATTAGCAGTAAGTAAGATGTAGTTATATATTTATGATTTCATTGGAAAATATTGTGCAATAATACATAACATATTTAACATGATTAACAGTAACTTTAACCTACATAATTCATTTATGACGTCTAATGTTTAAATAACTTCATTTTAGTAATTATGAACGGTGCTAAGTCAAAAAATAATCAGCTTGATAAAATCTGAATTAAGAGGATCATTGGTAACCGACTTCCATCAAAACGTGAGGTTCTTTGTAATTTTCTTTATTTTCATAATTCTAACAAAAAGACATTATCATTTAGTACTTCAATGTGTTCGACACGGTTGAATAAAATATGGTCAAAAACAAATATTTTGATTAAGCATTCTTGTCACATAGTTACACAAAAAAGAAATTATACTAAATGGATAAAATCTAAAAAAAAAAAATTAAAATAGAATTAGTATTACTCAAGATAATAACGAAGCCGCATTTGTTGAGTCATTAAATTATTTATTCGATATTAACCATTAAATTCCGATTTATCGTAACAAGAGAAAGACTCCCTTGTTGTTCAATGTGAAAAGGGTTGCTCTAGAACCGTCTTCAAAAAAATTCCACCCAAAAATACTCGTTCAAATAACGATCCAAATATTATTAAGTTAAAATAACTTAAACGGCGCGCACGAAATATTAGAAAGTCTATCAAGTACTGACAATAATACGAGTCATTCAGAATTTGAATACGAACTGAAAAATGAACAAAAAGCAAAGCACAGCTGACATCGGCGTTTGATAAAACTAATATATCCAACCGAGATGTCACACATATTTTAGCAGCGATTTTAACAAATTCAGGTAAAGAAAAAAAAATGTGTCAATAATCAAAGACACAATAAGAAGAAGAGCTCGTATTTGTGATGGGAAAATTATATCAGAATAAATATTAAATTTCCTTAAACCTTACAGTACATTAATGTATGCTTCGCAAACGGTTGTTGTATAATGGCGAATTCAAAGGGTGCAATGAGCATACTCATGAACTATGACTGACAGTAAGTGACTGCCTTTTATAAAAGTAGGTGTTTGAATAAAAATATATAAAAAAAAATGATGCACTCTAAAAAACATTTTTTATAAATGAAATACAGGAATTTATCTGCATTTTGTCTAAGACAAATTATTTTATCTTTTATTTGGATAATTTTTTCGCCAAATATCGTTTTCTCATCTAGATGAATTTTTGGTTTTTAATCCCAACACTGATTATTAATGTAGTTTTTATAAATTTATTTAATTTAAAATTATGAATTCATTTTTTTCTTAATAATCAAATTTGATGGAAATGTAAATTTAATTATATTTTTGTTGTACATTAATGTTCAATATAAAGAGATTTATATTTTTTATATCTTTGTATTGTAAGCATGAATTTCGTATCGGCTACCCTAATCGGTTAATCTACTAGGGTAGTGATGTTATATTAAAAAGAAGATGCTACTCGTGTAATAAAATTATTCTATTGTTGATGATTTATTGTGAAACGGTTGATTCCATAGTTAGCTTGTAAATCCCTATCAACAATGAGCCTAATGTATTTTTTGTGTGTATCATTATACACACATACATGAAAGTATTTGTTTACTGTACATAATATTTCATTCATTAAATAACAATTATATTATAATTACAAAAATAATAAAAATTATTATCAACATTCACAATTTTTAGTTTCTTTTATGTTACATATATAAAATATATTATATATATTAGTGTCCGTTATTTAAAAAATGTTGAAAATTCTTCGGTCTCACCCCTAAATTTGTATGTAAAAGTAGCTACAAAAAATTTCAGGCCGATAAGTTTGACCAATGCTGACTTGGGTTTGAAAAAATGCCAAAAGGGTAGTTTTTTAGTTTTTATCAATTAACTCGTAAATTAGCGCTCTCGCGAAAAAAAAATATTGCAACTAAATTGTAGATCTAATTGTTTTGTGTAAATAAAATTTTAACAGTTTTTATTCTAATTATTCCATTAGTTTTGCAGAATAATGTCAAAATATGTAATATTTGGTAAAATTGAGTTATTTACGAATATTTAATTATATTTGAGGAAACGTGTGTAATACAACTTAATGTATCATACGAAAAATATTTAAAATTAAATTTGACAAAATTTAAGTTATAAATAAACATTTCTTTGAATCGATCGTTTAATTGTTATAGCTGATATCATTTTACGATTTTTACTAAGTATACGAGTTTTATTGCTTAATTTAAATGTATTTGGTTATAATTGTATATTCAATTGTAAATTGATGTATTTGATTAGCTTAAACGCATAAGTATACTTATTTCTCAATATTATTATATACATATATATAAAAAAATTACTTCATAAAAAATAAAATATTGAATTCACAAATTATAACAAAAATATACATAAAAATTATATTTTAATGTTTCTTTGTTGCAATTAGGATATAATTTTCTATTCTCTTCGTCACAGCGTAAAAGTAACTCAGCTGTTTAATCGTTTACAGTTAAACTTCCATGAAAATCTTCCATTAGCCTAATTGGTCTCTCTGCCGAGTCATTTCGTACTTTAAGAGAGCATATAATTTCTTTTCCCTGTAAATAAAAATCATAAGTATTATCGAATCTTTAAACAAATTACATACTGCTATTCGACAAAAAATAAACTCCAGTTTTTACTAATAAAAGTTATGAAAAAATAGAAATAAAAAATCATTATATTAAATTTTTTTAAATAAATCTTTAAGCAATATATTGCTTCACTCATCCGGTGAGTTTAGTGCATGGTTCCAGGAGGGTATATTTTTTTTAACTGAGTCACCATTTAAAAAAATTGTTGATAACTCTAGCAATTTTTTATAATCGTCTATATTTCTCGAGAAAACTGGAAAATATCATATCGAAAATTTTCAAGTGCAGAGTAACATTCGATGCCATAGGTCGTATTAGAAACATCAATGTTATTCCAATTTTTTAAACATGGGAATATCATGATGTTACCCGTGGAGATTTTGTTTCGAAAATT